AACACAACAGTTTATGATATAGGACAACACAACAGTTTATGATATAGAACAGAACAACACAACAGTTTATGATATAGGACAACACAACAGTTTATGATATAGAACAGAACAACACAACAGTTTATGATATAGGACAACACAACAGTTTATGATATAGGACAGAGCAACACAACAGTTTATGATATAGGACAACACAACACTCACTTAGAGCATCCATCAGCACTGTCAGATGAGGATGATCCCACTGGGTGGTTTCTGTGGCATGGCTGGAAAAATGGAAATTGTATCGGTTAAACGGCTCTTTCGTTTATTTTAAACATTTCTTTCCATTGGACGTTGTATAGGATAAATTACTCTATCTATTGGTTATTATACGTAGGGCAAACGCCTCTTTCTATTGGTCATCACATAGGTTTATCTAGAGTCGATGACAAGGCTGGAAAAAGACATGTGTTTGTACAGACAGCGGTACAATTGGTGACTCATTCACATGTATCTACTAGGAGCTAACTTAAACACATGAATACCATAATATCAGTGTGTGTGTGTGTGTGTGTGTGTGTGTGTGTGTGTGTGTGTGTGTGTGTGTGTGTGTGTGAGTGTATGTGTGTTTTTTCTGTTTGTCGGTGGGTGTGTGAGTGGGTGGATGAGTGAGTGGACGTGTGGTGAGTGTAGAAAGTGTCAGCGTGTATGGTGATTTTCTAAAGGGGGTATTACACGTTCAGTTAAATCTGACAGTTCTCCGTACTTGTTGTGGATAAAATAATGCGTGCACGAGGCAATCTTGGTAAAAAAAACACGATTTCTTTTCTATTAATGATCTTCAAAATCCAGCAAGAAAAAGAGTCACTTGCGAATCATTTTGTTAGTTTCGATACCCTGGTTCCCAATTTCATGTTGTGTTTGCGATAAGACATATTATTTTTCAATAAGTTTATAAACCGGAATTTTTATCTTCGCAGGACAGCAGACAGCCCAACACCTGGACTCACACACATTTTGCCGTGTCTGATTTTTGCTGCGGCCTGTCGGAAAGGCAGCGTTAACAAATACAAAACAAAAGCAAAAAATTAGCCTGTTGCCACAGCCCTGCAGCTATTGGATACCATACTATCCTAATAAATCCTCCTTGCACATTCTGTCGCTTACCGAGCTCTATGATACACTATCTCCTTTTCTCTTCATCCTCCTCCTCCTCCTCAACCTCCTCACTCATAGTCCATTCTGCCTTTATGTATAAAGAGCGGGTGGGAGCCTTGATTCATTTTCCCATCCGGTCAATTTCAGCCAAGGTTCATAACTTTCCCTATTCACTTAGCGTGACACGATCAAGGGGATACTACTCTTGTCAGGTTTCTAATCTCTCGGGTGAAAAGAATACTGGAGACACTCCTTTTATTAAACTTTTTTGTTTTCTTGGGGATATTTAGCATGGGTTCTTCCAATGGTAACACGCTAAATAAGATTAGATATTCAAACCTGCTGCTATAGCAGTCTCTTTATTCTCGAATCTCGATGCATCCTCTTTTTAAGGGTTTTGTTGTTGCTCTAGTTGTTGTTGTTGTTGTTGTTGTTGTTGTTGTTGTTGTTGTTGTTGTTGTTGTTCTTCTTC